GGTTAAACACTGGAATAAATTGCCTAGGGAGGTTGTGGAATCTCCATCTCTGGAGATATTTAAGAGTAGGTTAGATAAATGTCTATCAGGGATGGTCTAGACAGTATTTGGTCCTGCCATGAGGGCAGAGGACTGGACCCGATGACCTCTCAAGGTCCCTTCCAGTCCTTGAATCTATGAACTGTATAGGAAGTATAGTATGGCTGAGCTAACTGTGATGCAGCCCATCAGAACTTCCTGGGCTATGATTGCCTAGTCTCTCCCATTTCATATTGAGGGGTCTGACATGATGAAATTCCATCTGCACCACTATTTTCTCCCCGTACCAAAGGTTTAGCACCCAGCCACCCAATAGCTTCAAAGCCCAGAGGAAAGTAGAGCTAAGTGTTTAAGCAGTGGGAAGAAGGTTATGCAATGACGGAAGAGTGACCCAGTCTTATCTGCTGGTGCGTGTGGCGGGAGGTGGGGCCTTAACCTAACCAGAGAACATTTCTAAGATATTCATTCTTTCAGACGGAAACACCAGCCAGCCAAGAAAGCCTCTTTAATGGGACATGCACTTACAAAGAAATCATTCCTGCCAGACTGCGCTAGTACATTAAATAATAAAATCTGTTCTATTTTTAGAGCGGTGTCTTTTCCTCCTGCATTCCTTGATACAGGCCAAGTCTACCTTGGACGAGTGAATGGGAGAAGGGTGGGATGCTTGGGCTGTGGGTGCATGGCTTGTGTAAGCTGGCTTTACTGTCTGGCTGGGGCTAGTTACTGACTGTACCTTTGAGAAATTGAAACCACTAGTGCCCCCCCCCCCCCCAATGAACGGTATGTGCCTGATGAGTAGGCTTAAAGAGACACTGTCAAGGGTAAGAGGGTCTAAATATGACCTACCATGGTTGCTCCCCTCCCCCTTCCCCCACATTCTTTTTGTAGCTCCAGGCCCTCAACACTGTACTGCAGCTTCACAGCTAGATTAAGGAAAAAAGGAGACGGGAGCATTTTCTAGTGTTCTTTATGTGACCCAAGAGGATGGTTGCATAATCGGATATCAGCTTTAGCCATCCAAGCAGATATCAGTATTTTAAGGTGTTGGAGCCAGGACTTCAGACGAGACGTTATGTTCTGGCTGATGGCTTTTCAGTGAAATCGGAGACCAGTCCGGAGAGATACTGTGTGTGGCCTGTGGTAGGAGGCATTATCTAACCACCAGTCCAGAAGGGGTTAGCCTCCGCTCTGCTTCTTCCTGTTCCTCTTGCACAGGTGGTTGGGGGAAGGACTGTAAGTTGGCACACGGAGCTGGGAGAATGACTTTGGGAAGGTCAGACCCCAGACCCAGGTGTTGTGGGGAATTTTCCTCCCTGCCCCTGTTGATTTAGCTTTTGGTTTCCTTCTATATACTGTATTCCTTGAGGAAGCTATCTTGCTGACTGCATCTGCATTATTTTTCTGCTAAATAATTCCAGCAATTTCCAAATAATTCCAGCAACTTCCATTGTTGTTGCATGGAAAAATTATTACTGCTTGTATAGCACATTCCAGACAGGGATCTCAGAGTGCTTTACAAACCAGTCAGTGAAACTTCACAACCCCCCTGGAAGGCAGGGAGGTGTTAGCTCCCCTTGAATCGGGTGAGGAAACTGAGGCTTAGTGAGAAGTTAACTTACCAAAGGATGTACAATGCAACAGAGAGAAGAGCTAGTCAGTTGTGGCCTAGTGGCTAGAGCACTGGACTGGCTCTACTACTAGCCAGCTGGGTGACCTTGGGCAGGTCACTTCATCTTTGTGCCTCAGTTTCCCCACAGGTAAAATAGGGATAATACTTCATTTGTAAAACACTTTGAGCTCCGCTGATGAAAAGCACTACACAAGAGCTGGGTATGACTGTTTATAACAGAAATTCAGACTCCAGTCCCACGTTCTAACCATTCCCTTCATGAAAGGGCTTTGCTCTGTACACCATCGCTGCTCTGCAGGCCCTGCCCACTGGAGCCTGGAATGCCTCTCTTGGAGGTGGAAAGAACAGGTCCTTGGGTGCAGTGACTGAGAGTGTACCTAACTCTTGACCAAACACCTTGCTCAAATTTGCTGTTTCTCTTCTAGGATTTTACTGTTCTCAGAGTGGTGTTACATGGGTAGGAAGAGGCCTCCGTGCCTTATGACGCCCTGTCTGACAGGATCTCCGAGGCTTGCACATTGACACAGACCACCAGTTCAGCGGCAGGATTAGTCATTTTTTCATAGAATCATAGGACTGGGAGGGACCTCGAGAGGTCATCTAGTCCATTCCCCTGCACTCATGGCAGGACTAAGTATTATCTAGACCACCCCAACAGGTGTTTGTCTAACCTGCTCTTAAAAATCTCCAATGCTGGTCCAGAGATTCCACAATCTCCTTAGGCAATTTATTTCGGTGCTTAATCACCCTGACAGTTAGGAACTTTTTCCTAATGTCCAACCTAAAGCTCCCTTGCTGCAATTTAAGCCTGTTGCTTCTTGTCCTATCCTCAAAAGGTTAAGAAAAACAATTTTTCTCCCTCTTCCTTGTAACATTTTTTTACGTAGTTGAAAACTGTTATGTCCTCAGTCTTCTCTTTTCCAGGCTAAAGAAACCCAATTTTTTCAGTCTTCCCTCACAGGTCATGTTTTCTAGACCTTTAATCATTTTTGTTGATCTTCTCTGGATTCTCTCCAGTTTGTCCACATCTTTTCTGAAATGTGGCACTCAGAACTCGACACAATACTCCAGTTGAGGCCTAATCAGCACGGAGTAGAGCGAGAGAATTACTTCTTGAGTGTTGTAAGCAAGACACCTGCTAACACATCACAGAATGATGTTAACTTTTTTTGCAACAGCATTACACTGTTGTCTCACATTTAGCTTGTGAACCGCTATGACCCCCAGATCCCTTTCCGCAATACTCCTTCCTAGACAGTCATTTCCCATTTTGTATGTGTGCAACTGGTTGTTTCTTCCTAAGTGGAATACTTTGCATTTGTCCTTATTGAATTTCATCCTATTTATTTCAGATCATTCCTCCAGTTTCTCCAGATCATTTTGAATTTTAATCTTATTTTCCAAAGCACTTGCAACCTTTCCTAGCTTGGAGCAATTTTTCCAGCCCTGTATTTCCATGCAGTCTCCTGCCTGTGAGGCCTGCACCATGCACATCATCAGAACTGGGAAGCAAAAGGGGTGTAGCCTCAGTTAAAACTGTCCATAAGGCATTTGCTAGATGATATTGTGTGTGCATTCACTGGAATTCAACTAGGAGCAGTTTCACTCAAAGGATCTGCCTTCAGGATTTTGTTTTCTTTAATAAAAAGGGCAATCACTCTAACTCTAAATCCTGTAGACCTCTGTGCTGGAGTTGCAGTGGCTTCCAAGGACACATTCCCTCGGACAGGGCAATCTGCACAGAATCTGCAATTTCTTAAAATTGGATTAGATATGATAATCGCAGAGTGTATTGCATGGGTGAGTGTTTGCAGAAACTTGCAATAAAGCATGGCCCTTAGTAATTGCTGGACGTGAAGCTAGTTCCTTTGCTGCCAGTATCTTCTACTACATCCTTTAACAATACATAATCTAGACTCTCCAATTTTATTTTTCTTAACTGTTTTTCTTTGCAGCTCTGGTGAACTGTAATGTGCATGTTACTGACAGACTCATGACAGTGGCTAGGGTCCCCCCCACAAACTGTCGCTCTGCAGGCTTCCATAGGCTGCTATGCCAGTGAACAACCTCTTGTAGCCAGAGAATGTCAGTCATTCACCAGGTGATGTGCTGGGCTGAAGACACAGCTCTGTTATAGAGGGGACTGAGACTACCAAACTCATCTCGTTTGTGACATAACCCAGATCTCCTAAAGCATATGGGGGGGGGGATGCTATTTGTATAGCTATATATTTCCAACCCGCCAGCCTGATTTGTCTTGTAATTGATTTGTGCTTGTTTTTGCTTTTCCAGTGTGTGGCTGTGACCTGGCCCAAGGAGGTTTTTTCATTAAGAACGGGGAATACCTCTGCTCTGTGGATTACCAGCGCATGTATGGAACCCGCTGCAATGGCTGTGGGGAATTCGTGGAAGGAGAAGTAGTGACAGCTCTGGGAAAAACCTACCATCCGAACTGCTTTGCCTGCACTGTTTGCAAGTGAGTCCTTTCTGTGCTGTTAACCCTATCACACGAAACACAGGGAGATCTGCATCGCCACAGCATGCAGTTTTAAAGACGTTTTTTCTATTAGAAGGTGCTTGATTGGGAATGATTTGTTGTCACCTGAACTTTAGGGAGTTCAGAATGCCCATTAGTTTATCTGAAAAGCATCTACCAGCAAAGCTGTGCTGCTAGGTATAATGCCCTGTACCCTCTCCACACTGCTGCTGTCACACAGGAAGGAATTTAACATCCAGCTTTATGTGGGATAGGTTATAAAGGGCATTTCGATACTGGGTTTCACATTTGGCTGAACTCAGAACCAGAAGCTTTTAAGGGCCACATTTTAAAATAAGGAATCTTGTCTCAGGGTTGGGTACTTACTTAGTTCCAACTTAGTCCGCCCTTTCCTGTCTCAGAGCTCTAGTGACTCTTAGGCAGCTACAAAAAGAGCTCTTCTTGATCAGGGCCCCAGGCGCCCAGTCTTGTTCCAATGTCTCTGTCCCTTTTCCCCTTCACACCTGCTACACTCCCCTGTGGTCACTAGGTGGAGCTCTAGAGTGGGGCTCACAAGCTAATTTTATTCACATGAATGTATGGGAATACTTGTGTGGGTCAAATTACTTGTGCTTAAATGTTCTCAGGATTTGGGCTTACTCTTCTTGCTGGGGACTGGAAATATTACCTCAGCTGGTCTGCAGTTGCTCCCAACCCAGACACTCTGACATAGTTTAATGCTCTTTATCAGCCAGGCAGCTGGTCAACTAACATTGTCATTGGTTTCAGTCAAAGAAACACTCTTTCTGTGAATGGAATAATATGGCTTAGAAATTTAAACAAAGCATCAGCATTTCACTTCTTTTTTCTTTAAATCCCAAACAAAATACAGAAAAGAAAGTGAAGAAGGAGCGTTCCAGTCTTTTTGGTTTGAGTACTTGGTATTATCGGGCATCCAATATGCAAAGGTCAAAGTGATTTTATTGAATTTATTGTAGTCACTGGAAGGACCCAACGAAAGAAGGAATGGATCCCAAATGTAACAGGAGTAGCATCTTCTGAAACAGTAGTATATGGTACGGAGAATAAAATTTCATTGTAACTATTGGCATAGTGGTAGTGATTAGAGGCTTCAATCGGAGATCAGCTCCCATGATGGAGTTCTAACATCTTCAAGACCTAAGTTGTGGTCTATAATTACAGTTTGCTTTTGGTGTGACTTGGAAAAGATTCCCACATTTCAATGGCTAGCCAGCTGGTGTGCTGTGTACGATGCTTAGTGTATTAATAACTGTCCCACTGTTACTCTGTGCTCCCCCCCTCACCCCGTCTGCTGTATCCACCCGTTGTCTCATCTTATACTTGGATTGTAAGTTCTTTGGGGTGGGAATTGCCTTCTGTTATATGTTACCAGCTCCTGGCCCCATGGGCGCTTGATCCTTGCTTGATGCCTCTCAATGATATCACAATGCAAATAATATAATAATAATTCCCTATTTTCCACACTATAGATTACTGTTTCAGAAGATGCTACTTCCATTAGGTTTCAGATCCATTTTTATTTCATTCTGTTCTGCCAGTGACCAAGAGAAACTGAATAAAACCATTTTGGCCTCTTTGCATTTTGGATGTCTGCTGAGTATGAAGAAAGAAGGCAGCCACTAATAGCCAGTAGTCATCGTGGGTGTGGAAAGTTTAAGAAGCTGGAACTTTTTTTATATGATTTTAACTCTCATTAGGATATTATCCCTGAACGTTGGAGGTTCTGGGGCAACTTGTAGATATATGCTTGTAGTCTATTTCATTGGAGCAGTTCCAACAGAGATTAAATACTACTTGTCTATTCAGCCCAAGTAGAGATCAGCATAACTGAAGAAATATTTTGATCCACATAATTTTGTTTTTTCCTGGTCAGCGTCGGGATGGGCCTAAGCTATCTGTTGCTGAGAAGTCTAAGCTTTCATTAAAAAGCAAAAACGAGAAGAAATAAATCTTCCAGACTTGATGATTGTGAAAATAATCTTCCAAAATGAGCCAGAAGTAAACTGATGGAGTGTGGTACCTTTTTGAGCTTGCAGACAGTTGAGGTGCCGCGGCTGCTGCTTATAGTTTTACCAGCCGAAACCGACTGAAATTAACAAGATGACAGTCAGTTTCACTTCTGTTAGTCAGAAGCATGTAGATCGCAGTGACAGCATCCCATCTTGTGCTCTGAGCAGCAGCAAAGACAGGCACAGGATTTCACGGAGAGGAGAAGCCAAAATAAAGTGTCTAGGCTGACTTACAATAGCTCCTGCTTGTAGCAGCCAGTAGCCCTGCTGAGGAGTACAGCAGTGAAGTTCTCCAGCAGCCAGGAAGTTCTGGAATGGGGAGAGGCTCCTCCCTTCCACCAGCTAGAGGCGGGGATTTATCTGATACCTAGAGGTTGATATGAAAGAGGGAGCCATTAAGCAGGGTTCAAGTGAGGACTCTGTATCTGTATCAGGGGGATGGCAGGGCTTCTGAATTACCACACTTGTCTTTCATAGCTGCCTTGGACTAGTAAATGTAGTCCAGTGGCAAGTAGGTGTCTGGTCAAGTTTTCAAGTCCTGATCGAAGTGTTTTGGTCATTATTTTTAAAAATAACAATATGTATGGACTGGCACTGCACTGAGAATTCATATCCCATGTATGTTACAGGAATATTTCCTAAATACAGTAAAAGCAAATGATGTTCTGAAACATGTCTATAAAATGTAGCCCATCGACTTGTGTGGAACGAATAAAAGACTTGTCATCCGTGATGTTTAACTGTTTGTTTTGCAAAAAGAAACTGATGTTGATTTATTAAGGACACTTCTCCTGCTAATATACTTCTGGGTGGGTTGAGATGCAGGCAGCGTGTAGCAGGAAATTAAAGCCATGCGCCTTTTTGGAAGACTTGGAGTTTGAGAATTTCTGCCTAATTTTAGTGAACTGGTGTAAAGTGCTGGATTTAACAACCGTAGAGGCAGAAATCTTCTATTTAGCCACAGAATGGGTACCACAAGGTTCAGCAAGCTTCTTTCCTGATGCCCCACCAGTAAACCTCAACCTTGCTTTTGGGCCCTTGTCCTCTACTGACACAGTGGGGGTGGCTTTGTAATGTGGGTTCCTGTTTAAAGTTCTAGGTACTGGAATATAGCCACCAACTAATTTCGTGTGGACCACTGTAGTCATAGTTCTGACTGTCAGTCACTGAACCTAGCCCAGTTTGGTGAACCTTTGAGTTGAACAACTGTATATTTCTTCACCAGCTCTGTGAGCCGTCCATCCACCTTTTGCCTGCTCCTCACTATTTTTGGGTACCATTAGTGACATGCTGAGCCTATCGTTGCTGTCGCTGTTGAGTCTAAGTGAACTCCGCTGTCTGCTTCTCTTTAGATACCGTGCATCTGATATCTTTAGGAAACCAAAATACCAGCCAGTCTAATCTCTGCTCTCCTCACAATTGAGAAACCTTTGGCTTTCACCCAGCTGCCTGACTTTGCCATGGCTGCATTTCAGACGTAGTGTCTGTAAGATATTGATTTGCACCAGAGGAAGGCGGCAGGCTCAGGAGATGGAGAAGAGAATGAAATTGCTGGATTAACCTTAAATAAAGCTCAATTTTCTCTTTCCCTCTTCAGACGCCCGTTTCCACCAGGAGACCGGGTTACCTTCAATGGAAGGGATTGTCTCTGTCAAATGTGTGCTCAGCCAATGGCATCCAGTCCAAAAGAGATCTCCAGCTCAAGCAGTAAGTATGCCATAGTCTTTCCTAAGCTTCTCATATGTCCAGGAGCCTCAAAAGTTTGCCATGTGTTTTAGTTGTTTTGAAACCAACTTGGTTGATCCTTATTTGTTGTGAGGATTGTGGCTAAGTTCTGATTTCTAGGAACCCATTACTTCTGAGCAAGGGCCCTAGAAAGACCTGTGTTACTGTGGATGGCAAACACACATTGACAAGTTACAATCCAAACTGAGTCACCACAACCTCTATGAAGCTGTTCTGAAAGAAACAGTCAGTGTTCTTTTATAGGCACCAAACAGGCTATTAATGATGAAGAGGACGTTTCAGAATATGTTGGTCATAGTTTTTTCCCATGTGTGATTGCACAGGGTTAAGTGTTCCATTTCAGAAGAGGGTGGTGTCAGGGGAAAGACATTCTTGCCTCTAATCTGTAACATTTAATGTAATTACATTATCTTCTAAAAATAGCGCCACCATGATTGTCTGAATCATGCCTCCAGTACAATGATACTTATGTGAACAAACTCTCAAGAGATATTTTTATAAAGGCTTGGGGGAGGGGGCGGGGGAATATAAGGGGATTGGAGAATGTATGTGCTTTGCTCCTGTATTTGAATGCTTTTTAAAGCAAATAAAAGTTCACCCATCCACAATATATTACAGGGCAACAATGATTTTTATCCATGGGCATCATCCCAGTTAGAGATGGAAAAACCTTTTAAATGCTCCAATTCCTCCCTTGAGAATGCAGTGTTGTTCCCTGCAGCACATTCTTTAGTGGCTGATCCAGTCTAGTTTTAAATCCCAAGTGATGATGCTTTTACCACTTCCCTGCCTGTATTGGGCCTGTGCGAGGAAAACTGCTCTATATTTTGGGGGAAAAGTGGTAAATGCTTTGAGATCCTAGGCTGAAAGGTGCTATGTAAGTGTAAATCTGGCTTGTATCCCTATTCTGTTGATGAGTAAACAGAGGCTCAGATGTTATGTGACTTGACTGAGATCTCAGTCACTTACTGAAGTGGGAAATGAAAACCTGGTCTCTCTACTCCTTGTCTGTCTCTAACTACTAGATATACTCTCTCCCCAGTGTCATGAAACGCCTTGGAAGTGAGTCATCTTATAAAATGTAAGTGCAGGGACCAAATCAGTTGGGGAGAATATAGTTATCTTTAGGGCTGTTATGAGATCTAAGGGACAATCTGGTATTTTAATACCAGACATGCTTCTGAAGCCTTATGAACTAATGTAAATATCCCGGAGGTACATGGGGATGACCTGGGATCTAAGAGATCCATGCTGGGATCTAACTCCTTGAATTATTGTCTGTTAGGGAGGATAGTCCTCTATGAACATACAAGCTGCTACTGGGGGGAGGGGGTTTGGCGGGGCTGGCAGGCTCCCTACCTAACTCCGTGTGGCTCCCTGGAAGTGGTGACGTGTCCCTCAGCTCCCAGGCGGAGGTACGGAAAGGAGGCTCCGTGCGCTGCCCCGAGCGCCAGGCCTCTGCCTAGAAGCCGTGGGACACGTCACCGCTTCTGGGGAGCCCCCCCGCAAGGTAAGCACGCCCAGAACGCTCACCCCTACCCATGCCCCAGCCCTGGGCTCCCTCCCACACCCAAACTCCTGCTGCTGCTGGGGGCCTGCGGTGGCCCGAGACTGCCCTAGCCACACTGGCCGCTGCATAAGTCACAGCCGTCCTGGAAAGTCTCCGATTCTGTGACTTCCATGATCTCCGTGACAAAGTTATAGATCAGTCTGTACCAACAAAAAAGCTAGATATTCTATGTTTGGGGGCGGGAGATATTAATGGCTTTTATTTCAGAAAAAAATGTTTACATTGGTTCCTGTAATCTATTATAGAAACTTTCTGCTAGTTTTAATGCTTCGTGAAATGATAGAGTTAATGATTCTAAGGAATGGCAGGAGGAAAAACAGCAGAATAAAGGCAATGGACTTCTAGGAGGCAGATTTTAGGAAACTCAGAGAATTGATAGGTAAGATCCCATGGGAAGCAAGCCTAAGGGAAAAGAGAGTTCTGGAGAGGTGACAGTTTTTTAAAGAGACATTGAGAGTAAAAGAGCAAACTACACTGATGTGTAGGAAAGATTAAAAAGTATGATAAGAGGCCACTCTGGGTTAACTAAGAGATCCTCAGTGACCTGAAACTCAAAAAAGAGTCATACAAAAAGTGGAAGCTAGGTCAAATTACACAGGATGAATGTGAAAAACCAACACGAGCACATAGGGACAAAATTAGAAAGGCCAAGGCGCAAAGGTGATTAAACTAGCTAGGGAAAGCATTTTTCAAATATGTGAGAAGCAAGAGGAAGACCAAGGACAGGATAGGCCCACTACTCAGTGAGGAGGGGAAGGCAATAACAGAAAACGCAGCAATGGTTGAAGTGTTAAATGCCTTTTTTTGTTTCAGTTTTCATCAAAAAGTTAACAAGGATTTGACAACTAATGTCCTGAACATCAGTGTAAATGGAGTAGGATCTCAGGCTCAAATAGGAAAAGACCAAGTTAAGAATTACTTAAACAAGATAAGTGTTTTCAAGTCAGCAGGGCCTGATGAAATACATCCTAGAATACTTAAGGAACTGGCTGAAGAGGTCTCTGAGCCATTAGCAATTATCTTTGAGACTCATGGAAGATGGGAGAGATACCAGAGGATTGGAAAAGGGCAAATAGAGTGCCTATTTATAAAAATGGAAATAAGGACAACCCCAGGAAATTATAGACCAGTAGGCTTAACTGGAAAGGTAGTGGAGCACATAATTGAACAATCAATTGGTAAGCACCTAGAAGAAGAAAATAAGGTGATAACTAACAGACGTCAAATCATGTCAAATATCCTAATATCCTTCTTTGGCAGGGTAGCAAGCATTTTGCATAGCGGGAAGCAGTAGATGTGGCATATATTGACTTTAGTAAGGCTTTTGATACTATCTTGCATGACCTTCTCATATACAATGTAGAGAAATATAGCCTAGACTAACCTGCTCTAAGGTGGGTGTACAGCTGGCTGGAAAAGTGTACTGAGAGTAGTTATCAATGGTTCACAATCGAGCTGGAAGGGCATATCGAGTGGGATCCCACAGGGATCTGTTGTGGGTCGGTTCTATTTAATGTCTTCATAAATTATAATGGCATAAAGAGTACAGTACTCTTAGTTTGCAGATGATACCAAGCTGGGAGGGGTTGCAAGCACTTTGGAGGACAGATTTAAAATAAAGAATGATCTTGACAAACTGGAGAAATGGTCTAACTTAAATAGGGTGAAATTCAGTAAGGACAAGTGCAAAGTGCTAAAATTTGAAAGGAATGATCAATTGTACAAATACAAAATGGGAAAGGACTGCCTAGGAAGGAGTACTGCAAAAAAGGATCTGGGGGGTTTTAACCGATCATAAACTGAATATGAGTCAATGTAATTCTGTTGCAAAAAAGTGATCATTCTGGGATGTATTAGCAGGAGTGTTGATAAGGCCTCAGCTGGGGTACTGTGTCCTGTTCTGGGCACTGCACTTTGGGAAAGATGTGAGCAAATTGGAGAAAATCCGAGGAAAGCAACAAAAATGATTAAAGGTCTAGAAAACATGACCTACAAGGAGAGATTGGAAAAAATTGGGGTTGGCTAGTCTGGAGAAGACTGAGAGTGGACATGATAATAGTTTAATTACATAAAAGGCTGTTATAAAGAGGAGGGTGATCAGTTGTTCTCCTTAACCGCTTAGGATAGGACAAGAAGCAAGGGAGATTTAGGTTAGACATTAGGAAAAACTTCCCAACTGTACGGGTAGTTAAGCACTGGAACAAATTACCTAGGGAGTCATTTCTGTCATTGGAGATTTTTAAGGTTAGACCATCACCTGTCAGGGATAGTCTGCTTCATTCTGCCGCCGTGCAGGTGACTGGACTAGATGACTTATTGAGGTCCCTTCTAGTTCTACGTTTCTATGATTTTCTGCATTCTAAGAGAGACCACAGACAATAGGAATTTTGTGTTATGCTTGCGCCTAGAGGTCCTGATGAGAGGTGGGGTCCCACTGTGCTAGGTGCTATAAAACCACAGTAAAAGAGCCTCTAAGAGCTTTAATGTACTGCTTGGAAACCTGTGTGTGTCTTGTGATTTTGTGAATGGACTAGATACAGTTATAATTTCTAGAGTTTTTGGTCATTTCAGTGCAAAGTTTTACCAAAAAGAGAAAAATAAAGGTGGGTGCAGGATGTGTTCATAAGGCTCAGAGAGTCTAATGAAGAGTCCTCTTAATGTATTTCTTCCAAGCTATGCCAGGTGTCACTTCAACTCTGTGGCATAGTAGACTTAAAAGCTGAGAGATCTTGCCGGCACCAATGGGTAAATTGTAACTAGTGTAAAATATTCCAGATCTCCTCCACTCGCTCCTGCAGGCAGAGTCAGTCAGTCATTAATCTTTCCTGATTTCTTTTCCCTTCTTTTCAGTAATGTTTGTAATGCAATTCCATTCAGAAGAGAATCTCATTCTTTGAATGTGTCTGTTTTATGTCATGTACTGTGGTCAATTTCCCCTAGTTACTCTTAAGTAGATTAATGAGGAAGCTTATTTCAAAGAAAGTAAAGGTGGGGGGTGGAGGAATGTGGTAGGCTGAAAGTCAGGGTTGACTGCCTGATGTCAATCCACTCAGCACACTGGTGCCTCCTGCTAGCCGTCTTGGGGATTAGCTCTGCCCATCAATACACACTCTCCTGATGGTGCCTCAGCTACCATCACATCTGTTCCCAGACCCACATCACTCCAAAGACTGCGGCATCATCTTCAAGACACAGCCTTCCACCTGTGTCATGTTCTGTGCTCCCCCCTTTCGGGGGCCCTGCAGTCAACGGTCCAGCTACTTCCCCAGTGGTGAGTAGGGGGGGACCTGGGCCTGCTCACTACTCCGGGTCCTGGCCCAGGGACATTGTAGATGGCAACCACTTGCTGTGTCACCTCTAACTCAGTACATTTCCCTGGGACACTTCCCCA